AGCTCTCTACTACACACACACATTCATAGAGCATATATGTATATATATATATATATATATATATATAAGAAAAATAAGTTTTTGTTTGGGGGTAGGTTGGTGAAGAAAGACTTTCAGTGCTCCTGTTAGTTTCTGTCACTTCTCTACCTGGCGAACAGGTAATGGATGAATGTTTAATTTTCATTTTCATTTTACAACAACATGTTTCTCTGTATGTTATGGGACCCCTCCAAATTTCCTCTTGTTAACGCCCCCACCACACCCCGCCCTACCAGAGTAATGAATTGTCATTTCTCTCCCTGATTAAGTGGCTTTGGAAATATGCATATACTGTACCTTCCATATGAGGCTCGTTAGCACAACTACCTTCAGATCTTCAACTCCAGTCAAATTGTTTCAACTCCATTTTTTGGTACTTGCTGTAATTAGTTGTTTGTCGTTTTGTTCTGGGTTGACTGCAAAGAGCTGGTGGGTACAGAGGTATTCTTTGAAGATAGCCTTGTTTTGAAATCAAATAGACCTACCGGCACTTCGCTGCAGACAGTTTCACCTAAAAATACATGGAAAGCTCAGATGCATTAGCAAAAGCTACAGTCCTTGTTTTGCACTGGTGCATTTTTCTGTAGAACAAAAAAGCAGAATTCTCTCTAAATAGACATTTGGACAACAGGAACCAATTTCAGGGTGGATTTTTCTGATTGAAGATGTTGCTCTTACATCTACTGATACCGACTGTCACCACTTTAGTGTCTAAAGCTGTGCAACGTACAGGAGTTACTAGCAGAAAAAGTCTTCTTGTGTTCCCCACCACTGTTATCTCCCAGCCTGATCCTAATCTCTGAAATGACTTTGATGCTTGGCTGATCCCAGGAAGCTCAACCTGTTGACAGACACCATGGCAACACCACTGTCACACCGCCGGAGATGAATGCCCCGAGCCTCGTGAATACAAATGGGTTCTGTGAAATCCAGAGATGGTTTGGTTGTTTAGAGAATTGTCATGAGCTGCACGTTTACCCCTGAACCTGTCCCATACGACCTTTTGTGTCATGTTCACCTATTTGTTTTACCAAAAAAAGGCTTAGGAGATTCTGCCTTGCATTTAGATTCTTCATAATAAAATCGTTAATTTAAAAGATAAACAAATATTCACACTCGTACTTATTTTCTATTTCATGACACATAGCTTTATGACATATTTTAAATATTCACCCTTTGGTTTCCCTCCATCACGCCACAGAAAAACAGTTTTGTGTTTCTTGTTTACACTGAACCACACACAGTTTGTGCCTGAATGCTGTTTTCAGCACACAGAGAAACACCAACAGTGTGTTTGCTCACTTAATGACAGTTCCAACTGTGTGGAGGGTCATTACCCGAAGCTGTCGTGGTATGGGGGTCTGCTTACACGCCTAATTAACCTGCCAGATTCACTTACCCTTTTAGGGGCTGCTGTCTGTGGGATTAAATATTTCAGAGCCGGTATTCTCGTGTGCTTCTATTTGTGAGTCATAGTTGATATTTTATTTTTGATACGCAACATGAAAGTCAAATGATGTCAAATTATAGTTTAGAGACGCAGTTTAGTGAAAAGAAAATTGTGGAATCAACAAAACATCACAACGCATTTGATTCTGGTGGCAGACAAATTAAAAAATATATTTTCCTTAAGCCATTATCTCACCGGTCAGAGTTGCCGAGGCTCTTAATTTTGTTTCTAGAGTTTTTAACATGTTCAAAACATTTTCTCAGAATAGTCCAGGTTGTCGCAGGCGTCTTTCAAACCAATCTGAATCCTTCTTAATTTAATTTCTGTACTTCTAGAGCTCTAGTTCTGTATTTTCACACCTGCAGGAGTGCTCTCCTTGGACAACATCACTGGATGCTACAGCCCCAGATGTCTCAACACCACACCATTGATTAATATGAATAATTATTAAAACCTGATCCAAAATAGGCCCCTGACATTTCAAACGTGCACTCCAATAGGTTAAATCATAAACATGGGGGTGGCTGCAGAGGTGGGTACAAATCAGGCTGAAGCAGGCATAAGTACAGAGCTGGGCAACAAAATAATGTGCACGGCCAAGAATGCAGTTTTGCAAGCCTTGTGCACAATCAGTGAAACTGCTGCAGAAAATTACTCTCACAGTTTGTACATCACTGAAGTGTCTCCAACAGTCGCAGCCCAGTGAGATACTGCCTGAAGAATTTTTATTAAACGCTACTGGAAAACATCACTGGATTTTAAAAAAAAAAGAAAAAAGATTTTAAAGATTTGTCAGAAAAACAAAATAAAATTTCAACCAGACCTGCAGAAATCCATGAACAGCCCTAAAAATATTTTATAATTCTTCAATAAGTGTGTTATATACTTGGGCTAACCTGTTCCCTGTTGTTCCATGGAGGCTATATTAGTCACAAAAGTATTGTTTTAATAAAATAATATAATATGTTACCAAATTAATGGGCTTAAAATATATATATTGTTTGTTTTTGGGAACCTTATAGCAATAAAGACTATTTAACATACCCCTTTTGTTTTATTAATGAAATCAGTGCAACAATCAGCGCAGAAGAACTGATATCAGGTAAAATAATAATAATAATAATAATAATGAATTTAATTTGTGACGCACTTTTCATTAACAAAAATCTCAAAGTGCTACAAAGTGCAACTAAAATCAGTGATAAAATCTTGTGGAGGCAGAATAGGATTGCTTAAAAAGCAAAGTCTTTAAGCCTTTTTTAAAGTCAACCAATGATCGCGGAGCTGTCATTTAAATGTCAATGTCAAAAAGTCAAGCATTTAATTTACCAATAATCAGCCCACCTTAATTTTGTCTTTAGCCCAAAAACACTGAGGATTTTTTTAAAATTTACTTTGAATTTTCCAATAGTCTCATTTTGTGTCTGTATAATTTCTTCTAACTCATGTTTCCATATTTTAGTACATTTTTAAGAAGCTGTTGTTTTTAAGCTATTTGATGTAAATTGTGTTCAGCCAATAATGTAACTAAATGTACTGCAGGATTTATTTTGTACCACTTGTTGTTATGCATCAGTTCCTGCTTTTTGTTTTTTCTGAACCTTTAGGTTTTTATTTAATCCAACCTAATGAATGTCGCCCAGAGTCATGCAGTTAATGCATCAACAACTTCAAGCAGTTATCTGTTTAAATATTTATTTTCACACACTGGTACAACAATCAATCAACCTTTATTTAGACAGGTAAATCCCATTGAGCCTCGAGGACTCATTTACAAGAGAGACCTGATTTCAAACATAACATAAACATAAACAAACGTTTCCACAAAATGTTGACTCGAATCAAAACAGAGTAATGTCTCAACAACTGAATGTACCATTTTGATCAGATGATCAGTGGAGTCCCTCAACCTTTACCTTTGTTGTGCTCCTCCCTCCAGGCCACGCGGTTCGTAACATCCAGGCCTTTGCTGTGCTCCAGAACGCCTTCCTGCGGACTAAAACGAGCAGATTGGCCCGCATGCTACTGGACGCCGTCGGAAACATCTACGCAGCAGAGCCGGCCAATTATTTCATCGTGGAGTCGCAGCACACCCTGTCACAGTTTGCAGAGCGAGTGGCCAAACTGCCCGAGGCCCAGGCCAAGTACTTTGAGCTGCTGGAGTTCGTCGTGTTCAGCCTCAACTACGTTCCATGTAAGGAGCTGTTCAGCGTCAGCGTGCTGCTCAAATCCAGTACGTCGCTGTCCTGCAGCATCACGGCCGTGCGAACGCTGCTGAAGCTGACCAGGCACGACCCGGTGTTCAGCGACGTGCTGCGGGAGGTCGGCCTGCTGGAGGTGCTCGTCAACCTGCTGCACAAATACACCGCCATGCTCAAAGACCCCGCCTCGCAGCAGCACCCACACAGTAACGACCAAGGTGAGGGCTTTCTTTTTTTATTTACACGTTTGTGGTTGCTGAGGAAAAATGTTACGAGGGTGCAGAATTAACCACACCATCCTGATTAACCTGTGTATAAGGTCAACATGCTCAGTTTGCTTAAAGATTGGCTTGAAATCTTTAAGGTTTTACATAAAAAGTCTGCAGTCAAATACATGCAGCCATATCGTAGAGTGGACTGTAGATCCGTGTGACGGGGCAGGTCTGCAGCTGCTTTCTGAAAAAAGTAAAATAAAAACAAACAATACATATAGACCTATATTATTATTTCAACATGCTTTAGGTTGCATATTTGTCTAGTTATCTTCCAACAAGCTTAATTACCTTATTTTGTGTCAGAGCAATATGTAAGATTTTACCCATAAAACTCCATGGGGTGCTGTGTTTTACTAGATGATGCTACATAATGTTCCGCAGACTGTTGTCCTTGATTGACATGGCACATTAAAGCATCCAGTGGCCACAGTGGGACTAAAACAATCAGAACAAACATTAAACTAAAGAGATACTCATCTATATACGATGTCCTGTTATCCTGTCAGTAAAACGTTAAATAAAGCCGTATCTTCAGAATATTCCCAAATGCCACTGTTTAATTATCTTTATTCAGCCAGCAGCTGAGCAGCCTGTGTTTTCACCCTGAGGTCTCTGCTCTGCTCCTGTGTGAGGTCACATCGGTTCAGTCCGAGGTCCTACGGCTTGGCTGTGGACAGGCTGCGTCCAGACTGCCAAACATATGTGAATAAAAGGGATCCTGACCGCCTCCTAAGATGGTCTCAGTGTTTTTGATGTCTATTGAGCCAGTTCAAACCTTAAAACAATTTTGAACGATGGATATAAATGACCTCACATAGACAAAAAAAAAGTACAAATGGTAAACATTTTACTCACACGACTGATTAATCATTAGTTTTACTGTAAGAGATTAAAGTTTTAAATATCTGCATATAACAGAACAACCACTGGCATAGTTCTGTTTATTTTTCTTGTAAGCCTTCAGGCGACGTGGTTTGTCATCTTTATTTATTGTTGTTAATTAACGACATTGTTTATTTGGCTAAGGTTTTAGAGCATTTCACAGCTTGTCTATCCATGTTTGTTATAAGTCCTTAATAAATCAACTTGTGGACACGTGACGCAGTTTGATACTAACCTCTCTTCTATTTGTTTGTTGTCCCTCTTTATTTAGCCGACTGCAAAAACAACACCGTAGCAGATGAACAGAAGCAGTTTGCCTGGCTGGTGATGGAGACACTGACTGTGCTCCTGCAGGGCTCTAACACCACCAACACTAATGCAGGTAAACACAATAAATTATTTTAAAAAAGGGGTTGCCTAAAAATTAAAACGTTAATGCATTTAAATTGCAGGGGAGAAGATGTAACATTTTCCTAGTTACAGTATTTATGCTCAGAGAGCTCCAACACCTCAGTTCACTGGATTGTAAACTCTTTAAAGCTGGTTCCTGACATTTTTATTTGCATCAGTTTTGTTCCTGCTGAGGCTAAAATGAACTTCTTTAAGGAATCAAAAAGTATCTCACTACAATCCTACACTTCACGTAGTGAGAGGCTCTCACAGACCAGCTATGTGAGATTACATGTTTCAGTCAGCTGTAGAAATTTGGTGAGTCACAAACATAACCCACCAGCTGCTCAGACCTCTCCTTGACCCTGAAGACGACTGTTCTCTCTCAGGACAGTGGGGATTTTGTAGCTCCTCACTCTGATCTCATTTAAATTTCACTCTTGAAGCTCTCAGCTGCCTTCTGACTTGAAGAAACTCAAAATCTTTTGAGTAGAAATAATTTTAGTCTGTCACATAAATTACTATACTACAATGCAACTTTATTTGTAAAGCACTTTAAAAACAACACCGTTGGTCAAAGTGTTGTAAACTACCACATACAAGCATGCATAAAGTCAACTGAAATCGTAAAAGTAATGAACTGTCTTAATTATAAAACAACAAACGGTAAAAACAATGAAGTAAATTAAAAACTGCAAAACCAATATTTCAAGTCGAGTTAAAAGCCAATGAGGAAAAAAATAGTGTTTTCAGAAAATAAAGAGAAAACAGAAGGGGGACAAGCATAGATCCCTGAGGTACTCCACACGTGGGAAGCATGAACAGCTGGATGGAACAACCTTGAGATGCTAGAGACCTCAAAATTATCAGTATTTCCACATTTCTTTTGATTTTACTATTTAGAATAGCAATACTTGTTTGTGTATTTGTGCATGTTTGAGTAAAATAACTATTTCTGTCTTCTTTCATAACCTCCTGACAGTATTTATTTCAAGTTTCAAAAGAAAATCTTGTCATTTGGAGCATTTATTTTCAGGAATGGACAAATGGTCAGAATAACGGAGAAGGTGCAGCATTTTCAGATCTCAGATAATCAAAGAAAACAAGGTTCTATTTATTTTTAGACATCGCAGTACCGTTTTAACTTAAGAAGAGACACAAGTTAATAGTTCATGTAAAAACCTTCATTTTTAATCCCAGCTTTCATGCCCAGCTCGGCATGCTGTCCACTGGTCAGGTCTGGCTGGTCAGGACAGGGTCTGGATCTGATGTTCCTTCATCCACACCTGAACCCCCCTTAGAACCTGACACCCACTGTACAAAACTGAAACTCTTTCCTCACGCACACTTTTCCTTTCAACTCTTTAGTCATGGTCAATAGTTACTTATTTTATTAAACTTACTTTTGACCTGTTTCAAGAAGTTACCAACGACCACAACAGTTTTTATTTAATTTTCCTTCTTAAATAGGATTTGATTGAACGTCAGAACAGCTGTGATGCTGAGAAGATGATTCACTTTAATACGTATTGAAAATTAATTACATAGATTTTAAAGCTCTTTCTCTTTGCAATTAGGCTAAAATATTTTCTATTTTATGAAGATGAATCATAATCCAATAACTGAATCAAGAAAATGTAAAAAATAAGTTTTTTATTTTTTAATTTTAAACTTTTACTTTTGTTAAAGTTCAAATAATTTATGGTGAAAATGACTCTTCCACTATTCAATAATAAAAATGTATGTCATGAAATGAAAGTTGTATTTTAACTGGCCTCTTACAGCTGATCAACAAAATAAACTGGTTTTGTGTTTCGGTTGCTCTGATTTCTACCGACTGGCTTGAGCCAAAGAAAAACTGTTGGTCAACATCCTCACAGATAATTGACGACGTGTTAAGTCTGCGTCTTCTTCCTGTTTTTGTCTCTCAGCTCTGTTCAGAGAGTTTGGTGGCGCTCGCTGCGTTCACAACATCGTGAAGTACCGTCAGTGTCGGGAACACGCCCTGCTCATCATCCAGCAGCTCGTCCTGTCGCCCAGCGGCGACGATGACATGGGAACGCTGCTCGGCCTCATGCACTCGGCACCGCCCAGCGAACTGCAACTCAAAACGGACATTCTGAGGGTAAAAACACAAACTGGATGGACCAGAACTTTCACCCAAAACTTTCTCCTTCCCGAGGTTTAATTTGCATGTCTTCTTTATTTAACTGAACAGCTTCTTAATTTAGAATAATACACTTCTCACGTGGCCAAGCACAATAAATAAAATAAATTTGCAGCAGGAGTACCTGTCGGTAAATTCCAGTGAGCACACTGAGCACAGAAAGGCAGTGATTTCAAAAATCAATGTGCATTTGTAGCCGTGCACACAGTGATTGCTTCAAACCAGGATCTTTGAGGGTTAGGTGCACGTAAAAGCATGTACTGTACGCTCTCGCAGGATGAGAGGCCGGCTCATTTTCTCAGGCATAATTGCATTTTTAGCTTCTCCTCCTTCAGATAAAGTTAATCTCATGCCTTCAAGAAGCTTTGACTGGATTAGCCATTCTGTTTCACTAATCTTGGATTATAATTGCTGCCACATAAGGGACCGCAAAACACTCGCATCCAATTTAGTCTGATTAGAATAATTTTTCCTCAGTGCAGTGTCTATTTTTGCGTTTTGTAGGTGTGAAATCTAATCGATCTGTTCCTGAAGGCCTCCTCTGAACCTTCATTGTGTTAGCACACAGCTGCAGCCTGATGGTGATTCCCCAACAAGAAAATGTCTCTAACATCCTGTGACTGCCACCTGAAAACTTTTTGCTGACTTTGCTGTAGTGCAGCAGGAAACAGTGGTGCAACACATCACTGTTTTACTTCCCTTTATTCACTCATCTTCCTCTGCTGCAGACGCCAACTGTCCCACTTTCTTTCCTCATTTATTCAAAGTTTACCAGGCATTCATAAATCATCAAAGTAGATGGAGCAAAACTGTGGAGAGATACATTACCAAAGAGATGATTTATTAATTTAAAAAATGAATGACCTTTTTAATTTTTGTCCAACTTTTTTAGGCATTTTTCAGGTTGTGACTGTATCTTTTATTGTAACACAGCTAATTGTAAACATTTTAAACTGATATTATAGAGACTGAAATTTGGAGCAGATATTTTCTGAGTAATAACTCGTTAATATTTTCTCCTCGTGACTTCTGCGTCACACTTACTATTAACCGGGTGAGGTGGACATTTGGCATATTTATGGTCTTATTAAATCCAACAAAAAAAGCCGTATGCTGAGCACTGAATGACTGCTGAAATTTGTTGAAGAAGCTAAAAGTTATTACACTTAAAACAAACACAGCAGGGGCTGAAATGAGCTGAATTAAATGAGCAGGGCGGTAGCTAAAAACTACAACAAGCTAAATTGTTGCTAAAACATTAGCTAAAAGAATCAGAACAATAGCTAAAGCTAAAATAAAAAAGGTTAAATCAACAAAAATGTTGTTAAAATGAACAAAATGTACACTAAAGCTAAAATTGGGGGGGATAAAAGCTAAAAAAGATGTTGTTTATTTGTCATATGCAGATTAACACGAGGTCAACAGTGCAACGAAATGTTCAGGACGAGAAGAACGTAAAGTACTGAAGCAGTTGCTAAAACTAATATAAAAAAATTAGTAAGTAAAATTAGTAAAGCGGTAGCAAAAAGCTAATAATGGCCCAACTTTAGCTAAAACCTAAAAGTGGCAGAACTGTAGCAAAAATTTTCAGAAGAGTAGCTGAAAGTTAAAAGACAAAAATAGATCAAGTATGCTGAAGCGGAGTTCAAAGAGAACAATGTTTTTAAATAAAGCAATCCCAATGTACTTTTATTTAAAAATGTATTTTGAATAAAGGTAAATATTTGAAAAGCATAAAAGGTACAAAAAGTTATTGAACATAAATTCTGATAAAGCTGAACGTTTTCATGTATGAATGACTAAAATAGCTGAAGGTAGTTTGACTCCTAACATTCACACAGTTCTGTGTCTGGACACCAGTTTGACAGACTTACAGATAAACTTTAATTGTTTACATATAAAAAAAATAAATCTATAAATCTACCGGTAGTTAAAATAAATTACTGTTGGTTTTGATCGTGTTTTCTTTGATGCGTTCCTTCCTAATCTGTGCTCCACCTGCGTCTTTCAGACGTTTTGTAAAAATAAAAAAACTTTATTGTTTTTGCTGACTCTTCTAAAGATTTTTAAGTCCCAAGACTCATCTCCATATTTCAGTTTGACGTTTGGGTTTATCTTACTTGCAGATGCAAACCATAAAACCTTTCAAAACGGAGAGAAATTCAGTCAGAGCACTGAAGCAGGAATCCCAGAGGAGCTCGTAAATACATCACGGCAGAAGAAAAATGAGTTTATGAACAAAGCTGTGACTGAATGGGGCAATAAAATAAAACAAATGATACAAATGAAGAGGTAGGATAGCTGTGAGTTCATAAAGTAAAAGAGTAAATTATGGGATAGCTCGTGTGCGAGTAAAAAACGGAGCCTCTTATTTTCACAGTGGAATGTTTTGGTTAAAAGTCCTGTCTGCTCTTTCTTCAGGCTCTGTTGGAGGTGCTGCGGGAGAGTCACCGCACCCGGACGGTGTTCCGCAAGGTGGGCGGCTTCGTCTATGTCACCTCCCTCCTCGTGGCCATGGAGCGCTCGCTGTGCCAGCCTCCACAACACGGCTGGGAGCGCGTCAACCAGAACCAAGTCTTTGAGCTTCTGCACACGGTTTTCTGCACGCTCACTGCCGCCATGCGCTATGAGCCGGCGAACTCGCACTTCTTCCGCACCGAGATCCAGTACGAGAAGCTGGCTGATGCTGTGAGGTACCTGACTTTTCCCAATCCCTAAATAATCTGGCTCATCCCTTTCCTTTCATGTCACATTCTTAAGTTTAGCTTCTTCTCTGGGTTTTCATAAACTGGATTATTGGGGAAAGCTTCAGGTCTATTACATGAGAAGGTTTACCAGTTGTTTAAATTTAAATAGGGATTAGTTGTTTATCGAACTAAAACGAGTTGTTAGATTACCTGTTTAATGAATTTTTCTTCCCGCCCTCCAAATATGCATATTTTTCTCTTTGAACCAGCATGTCTTGTGCAAACAAGTTTTTATGTACATTGTTAGGGATGTGCAAATACAAGTAACGAAACCAATATTTTATTAAAAATATATCACATAATAAATATCACATAATAAAAGGCTAGTTATAAACTGAAAGTAGAATGATACGTAATGGTTAAATGCTGAATCAGCATTAACACAGCAAGCGCTGCTTACTTAATAATATTTTATTGCAAATGCCACCATTAGGAACCGTGTATCTGTTGCTTAAAAATAGAAAGCACAAGTTTGTGCTTTTTATTTTATTTTGGTCAAAGTAAACAAAAAGACAGATAATATAAAAAATAAAGATTAAACTACAGCTACAAACTACTATATTATTGTATACTATATTATTCAATTCAGTTTATTTCTTTAGCGCCAAGTCACAATAGAAGTCATCTCAAGACACTGAACAGAAACATTTATATATAAAAATAATAATTGAACATTATTTATCTGAGGAGCAGACTGCTTTGAATAAAACTCCATCACTGAACTCTCATCTTGAGCGAGCATGAAGGCGACAGTGGGAAGGAAAAACTCCTTCATGAGGAAGAAACCTTTAGCAGAACCAGAATCAGGACAAGCGTCCATCTGCTTCGACCGGTTGGGTTTGAGAGGAACAGATACACAATGGCAGGTCAAGAATCACATGTTAAAATAGAAATAGTATCAAATGAAAACTATTGAATTTTAACGATTAATTTAAAGAAATGAGGTCAGTTTGTCCTCTAGTAGTCTACGTCTATAGCAGCATAACAAGCCAACCCTAACTATAGGATTTATCAAAAAGGAAAGTCTTATTATAGTAGTTTAGCTGTCATTTTTTATTTTTTGCAGTTCTTAACAGACAAATGTTTTATAAATTAATAATAAATAACTCCATTCAGTATATTTGCACAAATTTAACTCTTTGGATTTAACCATTCTTCTTTTACTTTCCTTGGTTTTTATTGATAGATGTATTTAGTTATTATTATTTTTTTACAAGTCTTAGCAATAAAATGTGAGTTCAGGATTCCTTTTTTATATTTTGAGCAACTAAACTTGGGTATATGTTGGGTACGATGTATACCATGCCAGCTTTATTTATAGAGCACTTTAAACACTCTCAGGACCAAAGTGCTGTACACGTAATAAAACAATCATACAGTCTGATAATAAAAAGCGAATAAAATGATTAAAAATCAACCTTTCAGGTGGTGTCAAAGGCCAGGGAGAAGAGATAGTTTAAGAAGGGATTTAAAAACGGACAGGGAAGAGTCTGATGTTCAGTGAAGGTTGTTCCACAGTTTAGGAGCTGCCACAGCAAACGCACGGTCTCCTCTGAGCTTACACTCAGTCTTCAGTTCTCTCAGGAGCAGCTGATCACATGACCTGAGGGATCGAGAGGGTGTGTAGGGATGTAGCCACTCGGATAGATAGGGTGAGGCAAGTCCGTTAAGAGTTTTAAAAGCAAATAAAATAATTTAAAAATGAATCCTAAAATGTACGGGCAGCCAGTGCAAGGAGGCTATTTATCTGGCAAGTAGCTGAGATGGTTTGTCTCGTTCTGTATAAACTAATGAAGTTAATGCGCTTCCAGTTTCACAGTGAGAGTCGTTTAATCTTATTTGTTTTTGTCAGTTACACTCTGCTGATTGTCATCCTCCCTTCCTCATGTTAAACCCTTTTGGCTTCCATCCTCCAGGCTGCTGGGTTGTTTCTCTGACACGAAGAAACTGGGCCCCACAGGAGTGTTTCCGTCCAACGCTCAGCCTTTCCAGAGGCTGCTGGAGGACGAGGCTTCCTCTGGAGGCTGTGCAGGAGACAGCGTCTGTCCTACGCTCAAACACTGCAGCAAGCTCTTCATCTACCTGTACAAGATGGCCACCGACTCCTTTGACAGGTCAGTGCACCGTGTGACTTACTGTAAAGTTATCCTTTACTAAAAATGTAATGAACTCCAGTATGATGTCAGTTTGAGGTGTTTAACACTTTATCAGATATTACATTTAAAAGTTTGTTGTGGGTTTGTACCTTGTAAAGTTTGTATTTGACCATAAATGAGATTAAATGGTTGTCATCGGTGGTGAGGCCACATAAATGAAACGGATTCTTCACGTCAACAAGTTAACATTAATGTTGTGTGGTGTAATAAAAGAGCAGCTTGTTGTGTTTTTTATTACTTCAGATTGTGTGTTTAATGGCGGTGAGTTTGAAAATAAAACGGATTTGGTTTGGTTCAGCAGACTGGAGCCACACTTGCATCAATTAGGAGCTGCGCTTCAATTTGTAGCACCCTTCCTGTTCTGATCATCACTGTTGTAATCCAGACTGCAGAGCTGTTTGCACACTGAGCCTGCAGCAAGGTCAGGGGCCAAAAAGCTGTCAGAATGATCTGGAAAGCTGCTAAATCCATTAACAACAAAGTTCATTGGTAACAGCGTAATTAAATGAACCAGACCAAGATCGTGTATTGATCCTGTTGTACAAGAGAGAAAGAAGTGCTCTAAATTAATGTGCTGCACACAGATTTACATTAAAATACAGTTTTACTTTTTTTCTTATCGTCTCTATGTGTATTTCCTGGAGACATTTTTTAATAACGTGGATCACTAAGAGATTCACGTTCCTGTCTCTAATTAGCCTTCCTATTTTCCTCTAAAGTTAATTTCAATAAATGCTAATTCTGTATAGTTTTAAAATAAATAGATTTTAGCAGTGGGAACATTTGGCACCTCATGATTACAAATGCAGATCAGTTTTTTGCTGCAATAATGAAACTATTATCAATGCATTTTGATTATCTTGAAACTTAAATGACCGTGACTTATTTCACATAAATAAACACAGGTTTATATATTTTATGCCTAATAATCAATGGCCAATAATTCTAGTCAAAAAACGTTTTAATAATAGGCTGCTGTCCAACAATTAGCATAGATACTAACCCAAACATGGAAACGCCAAGCTGATGCATTTATCGTCATGTTTATCATCGGAAATTGATCCCCAAACCAAACGTTTTAAAGTCGTTACTAAAGACAGCCATGTTATGATATCTACAACTTTTACCTACAAAATATATTCTTTAGGATTTAGCAAAAAGGACGAGATAAAATGTGAAAACTCAGCTTTTACTGTTTCTACTACAGGAAGCTACGGTAGCTTTACTGGGACAAATAACACTGCAGCAGCTACTCCACCGAACCTCTTAAAGTGGCAGCACAGATTAACAAAAACTATTTAGAGTTGTGTGATGCATCTATAAATATGTTTTACCTCCTACTAGTTGAAAACAAAAATGAACCAATGGCTGCGTCACAATAAGTTACATAAATAAACCAAAACAAGTTTACTTCAAACCCAATCAAATGCAGTCCAGTTCAATCAGATTAAATCCAGTTTTAATCTAGCGTATTCAAATAATAATAAGGTTAGGATCAATCGAGGAGGAATGTTTGAAGGTTAGGATCAGTCGAGGAGGAATATTTGAAGGTTGGTTTCAGTCGAGGAGGAATATTTGAAGGTTAGGATCAGTCGAGGAGGAATGTTTGAAGGTTAGGATCAGTCGAGGAGGAATGTTTGAAGGTTAGGATCAGTCGAGGAGGAATGTTTGAAGGTTAGGATCAGTCGAGGAGGAATATTTGAAGGTTAGGATCAGTCGAGGAGGAATGTTTTTAAGGTTAGGATCAGTCGAGGAGGAATATTTGAAGGTTAGGATCAGTCGAGGAGGAATGTTTGAAGGTTAGGATCAGTCGAGGAGGAATGTTTGAAGGTTAGGATCAGTCGAGGAGGAATGTTTGAAGGTTAGGATCAGTCGAGGAGGAATGTTTTTAAGGTTAGGATCAGTCGAGGAGGAATGTTTGAAGGTTAGGATCAGTCGAGGAGGAATGTTTGAAGGTTAGGATCAGTCGAGGAGGAATATTTGGAGGTTGGTATCAGTTGAGCGTCTTTTTTTGTGAAAGTGATGCCGGTCTGCAGCTGGTACGGTTTGGTCCAGTCGGGCTTTTCATCTAAGATACACACGGCTGAATTCTGGCACTCTGTTATCTGTTCATGAACCTTCCCGTTCTTCTTCTTCCTAAACATCTTTTGTGGTCTGATTCCCCGGTAGCTGAAGCTCTAACATGCTAAGATCATGTGCAGGTCGGACCAGATGTGTCCCAGCTGGGGCTCTGATCCAGTTTCCCACTAATGACTTCTTTCTTTCTTTCCCCCTTCTTCTTTTCTTCTTCTAACATCTGGTGCTGTCTGGCTGATCGTCTTCGTCTGGCCCATCTGCACGGCTGCACGTGTGTGTGAATGTGTGCACAAACGCACCTGTGCGTGTGTGTTACCTGTGTTTTTTGTTTTTGGTGCGTGTGCCGCATGCAGCCGTGCGGAGCAGGTGCCTCCCTGTCTGACTCATGAAACCTCACTGCCCTCCCCCTGGGGCACGCCTGCACTCTCCAGAAAGAGGTAGCTACAGCTTTCTGCCTTCTTCCTCACCTTCATCACTCCATCATCTTCACCTTAACTTCATGCTAACTTAAGAAGCTTTACTTTTGCTTTTAGGAGTTTCATCCGTCCAGTTTTATTGATCCGTGTCAATATTTGTTTTTTTGTTGTTGTTCATCAAATTTACAAAATTAAATGATGTTAATATTTCAGTTGTAATTTCTCGTCAGGTTATTTACTGAATAAAACTTGTAATGGAAATTTTTAGCAAAACTGAACCTCAGTTACATCTTTTTCTCTCAAAAGGTTTTACAAATATTAAACGACTGCTTTGATTTATTTGTCTCCAGATACAGACACAAACACATTTGTTCCAGCTCAGTAAAATCGTGCTTCGTTTCTTGTGAAAATTAATTCAGTTAAAAGCACTTGTCCATATCTTTATTATTTTACAAACAAAATTAGCCGTTTTATTTTACAAATATATGCTAAAATATGATGGACTGTTTAGCCCCTGAGGAGACAAATAACCTTTGTGTAATAATCACGAAGCCTCTTGGGTTTATCTGTAGGGGGACATTAGGAGATGGGAATCGGTCTTACTCTCTTGGAGGTAAAAGTAAAACGAAAACATTTATTGTTTTAATCTTCCTTACTCCTCTGCCTCTCCCCATCTCAGCTGAAGTAGTTTCTGTCTCTGAACACAGACTCTGCTTCAATTTGAAATGACTTTTTAAAAATATTTATATTGTTTTAATAAACTCCCCGTCTTGGTGAGCTGTCGTAGCTCATATAAAACTCAGGTCCTCCTTGAGCGTCTCTCGGCTGCTAATCGGCTCCAGAACTCCAGATTTCAGAGGTGAAGTGACGACGGTTGCAGTGCAGATGATGGAGCCTCTTGTTCTTGTTTATTTACGTCGTTAAAGGCTCTTCTTCTTGGATTTATTGCGTTACGATTGTTTCCTTCTTTGCTGGTGTTTATTCCAAAAGCCAGAGAAGTTCTGTGGTTTATTTTATTTCTTTGTCCGCAGACTTTCACGACGTTAAAATTGTGAGAGAAGCTGGTTTGTAATGGTTTTGTTTTTCTTTCTGGTTTGATTGAGATCTGTTGTTTATTTTTAATTGCTTTCATATGACGCCCAGCAGCTCCAAAGTAATGCTCCTTTTCACACAAGAAATTTAAAGCGTTTTCACTTATTTATTTTTTTACCCAACAGCTCTGGCAGCTGTTTTGACTGAGTCACATCTTCTCGGTGGGGGGTGGGGGCGGGTTCTTCTCTTGATTCACAAACGGTTCCTGATCAAGCTTGATTTTTGTCACAGAGCATAGATTTATTTGTGTCTTCTTTGGCACCAAATAATAATTGACCAATATAATGATGAGCTAAAGAAAATAAACCCATTTAACGTGTCCCTGAATGCATCACTGACGGTTTGCTGCCTCACACCCGGCCCTGCAGCTCTTGATGCTGACTCCAGCACCTCTCCTGCAGAGGAGATTTGCTGCTCTGTAATTTACAACGCAGTAAAATGCTTATTATGCCTAATTGTTGGGCTTCAGACTCCTGCAGATCTCCCCCTCTCTGCCCCCCCATCCCAACAGTCGGGCTCATTGCTCTGAGTGAACTGTGGTGTGACGACTGCTGACTCACTAAAAAGTTCCAGTTCAAGTGTTAAATGTAAATCCTAACTTTGCAGTTTCGTGCAACTTTTCCTCACCGAGGGAAGAGTCCGTGTGACTGACGGTAAATAATCGTCGGCAGCAGCAGTTTGGGTTCTTGTAACGTTCAGAGATTCACAGCGTGTTTGTCAGACACTGACTGCAGCTTAGTGTCAACACATTCTGTTAATTTAATACTGTAATATTTGTTGTTATTAAAAGCTTAATTTCCTGTTAAAAAAATGCACAATTAAAATAATAAAAATAATGGTTAATTTAGTTTTAAAAAAATTGACTATAAACATTGAACTCAGACAAAACATCTGTTTTCGTCAACAACTACCATAATAGGATGTTCTGTCCATTCTCCCTCCCTCCCTCCCATCCTTCCTTCCCTCCTTCCCTCCTTCCTTCCTTCCTTCCTTCCTTCCTTCCTTCCTTCCTTCCTTCC